TTGTAACTGCTTATTGGTAATTTATGGATAATGTGTTAAGTCAATTGTTATATGTTGTATGGAACCACTGCTGTTTCTACTGTTTTTACTGTTTGTGAACCGCCGTGAGTCGCCTTCGGGCTTGAGATACAGCGGTATATAAGCAAAGTAAATAAATAAATAAATACATATGTGTGTATGTGTAAGAGAGAGAGGGAGAGAATCATATCTATTTATCTATATCTATGGTCCAGATCCATCATTGTTTGAGTCCACAGTGCTCTCTGAATGTAGGTGAACTACAACTCCCAAACTCAAGGTTATTGCCCAACCCTTCCAGTATTTTCTGTTGGTCATGGGAGTTCTGTGTGCCAAGTTTGGTTCAATTTCATCATTGGTGGGGTTCAGAATGCTCTTTGATTGTAGGTGAACTATAGATCCCAGCAACTACAACTCCCAAATGACAAAATCCATGTTTTTTAAGTGATAGTCACTCCTTGGGGTAGTAGGTGCATGCTGTGGAAATTTGGTGTCAATTCGTCCAGTGGTTTTTGAGATATGTTAATACCACAAACATTACATTTTTATTTATATAGATGAATAAAAAGATTACCACATATACTCGTGTATAAGCAAGAGTGAGGGTACCATCACCAGGGGCTTTGAGAGAAGGGGCAGTGTTTGTTTTCTGGCTGCCTCTGGCTCAGCTCCTGGGGACTCACTCCTGGCAGAACTGAGCACCTGACTCTGCAACTCAAGGCCAGCAACAACACATCATAACTGACTCGGGCCGTGGGCTCTTACACAATCCACTTATGACACCACAATTGTTAAAATCTGTGTTTCCTTTTACCAAACTGATCAGTAATCTGCTACTATCATCAGATAAGGCTCTCCCCGCTGCCCCCTCCCAAGAACCTCATATCACATTTACCATCCCCCAAGAAGGCCCAGGATGTTTTTTGCCCTCCCAATCTGTACCCAGATAACTTTTTGTTTTGAGGGAATCAGGGGAGTGGGGAGGGTATAAAAGAAATGCTATGAATGCTATGGAAAGGGAGGTGGTGGGTGGTGGGGGGGAAGGGGTATATGTTGTTATATTTCAGTAATATTATAATAATAATCATAATAATTGATTTTTAATGTATAGATGTTTTCTTAACTTTTATAGTTTAATGTATATGCTTATTGTTTTTATGTTTGTTCATGCGGCATTGATTTGTTGCCAATTTGTAAGCCACTCTGAGTCCCCTTCAGGTTGAGAAGGGGGGGGGGGTATAAATATAGCAAATAAATAAATAAAATATTAAGCAAACACAAATATAAGTCGAGGCACCTAATTTTACCACAAAAAACCTGGGAAAACTTAGTGACTCAAGTATAAGCCGAGGGTGGGAAATGCAGGAGCTACTGGAAAATTTCACAATAACGAAAAATACCAATAAAATTACATTAATTGAGGCATCAGTAGGTTAAATATTTTTGAACATTTACATAAAACTGTAATTTAAGATAATACTGTCCAACTCTGATTAAACCATTATTCTAACCTTCTTCTATGTAAATATGCTTACGTATCCTTCCAATAATAATAATAAAGAGAGTAAAATAATACATGTAACATAATAATAATAATAATAATAATAATAATAATAGAGTAAAATAATGGAAATGTAATAATAGTAATAACAGAGTAAAATAATGGAAATGTAATAATAAAAATAGAGTAAAATAATAAATGTAATAATAAATAGGTTAAAATAATAAATGCAATAACAATAATAGTAAATAATAAATTTGATAATAATAATAGAGTATAACAACAACAACAACAACAACAACGAAAAACAATAAATAACTTTGACTCAAGTATAAGCTGAGGGGGTGTGTGTTCAGCCTTAAAAGGGGGCTGGAAAACTGCTTTTACTTGAGTATATACGGTATTTAAAGAAGTCCAACACAATGGGAAATGTGATAATTGAGTTTTCAGTACAAGTATTACAATGAACTTAACCCCGTCAGAAGCCATCCACTTACAACTACACACTGAATATGAGTCAACGTGTAGGATGGGCACATATGGCTTGTGTGAATGAGCCTTAAAATAGACTTTTGAAAAAAGCTTTTAAAAATAACAACTTGCAGTGAATTAACCCCATTCACTGGGGTTAGGGGCACAGGACTCCAGCGAAAGTGAAAACCGCAAAACAAGCAACCGACAGAAATAGAACTGCACAGGAGGACTTAGAGGTTCCCAGAGAACACTGTAACATTCAAGCTCACAAATGTATTTCAAATATGTATTGTGAGTTCCTATCAAGGTATTTATGTAGGCAGCATTTTTGTTTCATTCAAAGCAGCTGTTAGCTGTGCACTGTTGCAAATTTGTTGATTACCACAAAGCCCAACCTGACATACATTGCTCACTTTGTTTCGAACAACATGTTCTTTTAGCAGCCATGACCAAATGTTTAGGCGGCCATTAGACCTGAGCACTCAGACAATCTGGAACATCTTATGCAAAAGAAAGCTGTAATCTGTTCAATTTGTTTGCATCACTGCCTAACTCATGTGTTATACTGCCAATTCATCATCTTCCTGTCATCCCAAAAAAGCTCACTCTCCTATGCCTTCAAAATAGGTTAAGGGAAGAGTTATTTGAATCAAAGATGCTTGTTCTCAATTAAGGAGAACAAAGTATCTATGTGGACACTATTTTAGCATACATATGGATGCAAAGATGCCCATTATCAAGTTAAAATCATCCAGTAGCACCTCTGAGACTAATTGGTTTATTCTAGCTTGAACTTTAGAGGATATTAATCAAGAGACAAACACTGCTATCTCTTTGAATACAATGTCAAATTAAGAGCACCACTCTATCAAAATAATGCAATGAGAAAAAGAGTATAAGAGTATGTCAGTGACAAAAACAGCAAAAGGGAATAAATGCACAGGTTAGTAACTGCAGCCAGTCTTAACAACTTCTCCAACCAACAGCAGAGCTACTGTGACCCCAGAAAAACTTAAGGAGACTCTAAACCTCACACTTCCACTTATGCAAGTGAAACTACCTATCTATGGTTGAAGTCTGAGCACTACAACAGAAGGAAGATGTTGACAAGATGGAATGTGTCCAGAGGAGGGTAACTAAAATGACCAAGGGTCTGGAGAATAAGCCCTATGAGGAGCAGCTTGTTTAACCTGCAGAAGAGAAGGCTTAGAGGAGACATGATGAGGGCCACCATGTATAATATGTGAGGGGTAGTCATAGGGAGGAGGGGGCAAGCTTGTTTTCTGCTTCCCTGGAGACTAGGACGTGGAATGAAAATACTTTAAAAAGAATTTCCCAAGTTCTAATATTTTGATCTCATAATGGGGATCTGGGTGGAGATTTCTCACAACTGGCAAATGCCACTCATTCTCAATTAGGCATGGGATAATTGATAAGAAAGGGGCTGCTGAAATGTTTTGGGGCACATCTGGCAATGTCATTTGCCTGTTTTACCTGATGCAACATTGATGATTTCTTTAACGACAACATCCTGCATTTCTTCATACTCCTTTCTGTTCTTAATGTATTCCTCATTCAGGTCTTTCAATGCACTGTATGTGAACAAACAAATAGATGTGGGTAAAACGTCAGAAGGAAAGGCTTCTGGAACATGGCCATACAGTCCGGAAAACACAAAGCAACCCAAAACAAATAATGTTGGCACAATAAGCTGATTTCCCACAAGGAAAAAGGAGCATACATTCTTTTGCTATAATTTAGGTTTAAAGACAGGATTAGAATTTCTCTCTACATTTTACATACATGTTGGCAAACTTCACTCCGTTCTTCTGTGTTTCCAAAACCTTATATTTCAGATTGTTTCGCAGAACTTTCTCCTCTCTGTAGGTAATTCGGAAATGATGTCCATACTGAGCATTGCATTCCAATTTGATGCTCTTCCCAGCTTCCAGACCTGTTCCACACAAAGCAAAGGGGAAAGAAAAGGCATGACTGGGTATGGCTTTATAAAAACACAACTCACATTTCCATTATCACCATTCAATGAGTCAAATGTCTCTCTTGGCTGGTTTCTGCTGCTTGATATTGTACCAGGCCACCTGCTGAGAGGTTAACTCATGGTCACAAGCCAACAAGTCCTAACACCTAGATGGTGAGACAAGAGAGTCAAGGTCGGTTTTGCTTATTATTTTTGGAGCTATGGGTTTCCTTGCACTATAAGGATTTCTGAGTTTCCTTGCACTATAAGGATTTCTGAATTGTAATGGCATACCACCTAAGTTCAGCTAAATTGGCAAAAGGCAGGGGAGCGTTCTCAATATAAACATTTATTGACCTGAATTAGATTGGCAGAAAAAAGATCCCGAAACAGGTACCGCAAGGGCATGCAGGGTTGTTTCAATCCAGCTTCTTCAATCTTCCACTCTTCCCTTCAAAATTACAATCTTTCTAGGAAAGAGGCTACTAACCTCTCTGGCTTCCATGGCCACTTCAGACTGTAGCTTTTCCTAAACCAAGTGTAACACTGTTTTTTAAGCTGTGAGACTATGAAGGTTTTGGAATAACAAGAAGATTAAAAAATATATATTTTCTCAACATACTTAGCTCTGAAGCTGCAATCTTCAGCACACCTCGCATTTTTTCTTCTAGTTTGTCCATAACTTTTCTTATGCCAGCAAGATTTGGATCAATAGAAGGCTTCACAAGGTATTCATGATTCTCAACCTGGAATACAAAGGGGCGGGGGGGATTCCTCAAAATCAGACTTCATAATCACATTTATCTTGCAATAGTAAAACACTTTTAATTCAACAAAGCAATATAAAACTATGTCATTTTGCCCAGTTAGGTGTCTGAATATTTTGTAAAATATTTGTCATTTTAATAGAATGTTTCTATTTTGCAGCCTAAGATCTGATCATCACTTTTGGTTTAAAAAAAATCTCTTGAAGCTTTCTTAGTCTGAATCACTCATCACAAAACATGTTTCTGAACATTACCTGACATAAACTCCATTCATACTAAACCTAATGGCCTAGACAAGTGTGCACAGGAGCCCTGTGGCACATCACACTTCATTTTGAAAACAGGACACTTTGAGATGCAAGTTCAGATTTCCTAGATGAAAGTATCTTAGTGCTATCAATCAAATAGCGCTATGTGTGCAGCTATTCCATTTCCACCTCCTCAATGGATTTTCTTGCGATAAGATAAGAAAGAATACAGCAGATTGTGGAATGTGACAAAAATCTAGACCTCCCACAAAGTCCTGTAGATGAAGAAGGGATGGTTTTTCAATGAAGGGCTCTTGTGACATAAACACAGACTCTTTATGTGAAATAATAGTCTTTTTAAAAAAAATTCCTGGCAGAAAAGCTGAATTGCAAAGTCTAAGTGATGACTTTGTTAAACATTTAGCTCAGACTCATGAATTATTCTCACCATGTTTCTGCCTCCACCTCAGTGCATTATTGAGATGAATTTCATATCCCAGTCACCCTCAATCTAAATCTATCTATGGGAGGAGGAGACTCAGATTCAAACCTCCCAACTTGCTCTCTTCACCACTATACTACAATAGTCATCTCACTCCAAAAAGAAGGTTTCCACCAGAAGTATTTCATGAACTATAGGTTTACAGAGCCAATGTTATAGCAAATTCAGGACCTGATGACCTAATCCTGGCCTAGCTTTTGGTGATAAAATTTAAAGGCAACACAAATGCTTAATGATGTCAGGAATTAGAAAGGCTCTGGCCAACAAATGGTTTGATGTTGCTGCCACATCGCATCCACCCAATAGTGTGCTTAGGAAATGTAATGAACTAGTTCCCTGATGGTGATCAGAATACTGAAGAGGAATAATTTAAAAAGAATGAGAGACCAGTTTAGTGATGGCATTTGCCAAATCACCCCAGAGATTCAGACTCAAAGATACCATGTCTTGAAGCTTACGTACTTATAGTTGCAATCTACAGCTCACCTTTCATATGGTACCCAATATGAATTAAAAGAAAATAGAGCCAAAATATATAATATTGATCAAATACATTTTAAAATACTAAGATAGTTTAAAAACACATTCAAAGCATAGTAAAGATAAAAATACAGCTGTTGCACTCCAAGGCTGGAAACCACCTCGGTACTTAAAACACACTCCAGTCCAAGGTAAAATAGCAAAGCAGTTTATTGAAGAATATGTATGAAAAGCAGTTCAGCAAAATAGTATTTTAAAAAGTCCAAATATCAGGAATAGTCCACAGTAATCAAAGTACAGGAGTAGCATCAAAAACCAGGAATACAAAAGCAGAATAACTCCAAAACATTAAATTTAGGAACAGTCCTCAAAACTTAGAATCATGGGACATGAACAAAAGGGAACATGCAATTAGAAATCCCTTGACTTAACCATGGATCTAAACACCAATGTTGCCTGGACTAATGAGCCCATCTGTTGGGCTAGTGAAAATCATGCTATCCCCTGAGAAACTGATAAATATTTCTTGTCTAATAAGCATCTTGACCTTAGTACTCTCTCTTGAGAAGCCCTATGTTGACGGAACGTAAATCTCCTAGCTAACTGCTCATTGGACTGGCCATCTGGACTTTCATTTCCATCCTTTGATCTCAGATCTACTCCTGACCTTGCTTCCCAAGCGAACTGCCTTTCAGGAATGTTGCCTTCAGACACAGACCAGTTATTTTTAGAACTTAAAATCTCTTGCTGGCTCCTCTGCTGACTTGCAGACCCAGAATCCCCAGTGGCATCAGAATGACTAATAGGCCCAAAATCCTCAGAGGTATCAGGTGCAGGCACAAACAAATGCTGAACTACAACAACAACAGACTCTGTTAAACTGCCCTTCTGCCACCACCAATTAAAATCTGAAGCCTTCTTTAAATGGACTTTGCCTGCTGGTGAAAAGATAACCAAGTGGAGGGAAGCTCAACCTCCCATAGAAGGGAATTTGTAAGTTTCGGAACAGCCACCAAGAAGCTCTTTATCATTTTTTTCACCCGATTGTATTGGGACATTTGGGTAGCTAAGAAAAAGCCTTGCTTTAAATATCAAAGACTTGGACAGGTTCATATGGGAGGATGATGCTCTTTCAGACAGTTTGGACCTTAGCCATACAGGGTTGTATAAGTCATAACTAACATCCTGAATTGTGCCCAGAAAGAGAAGTTGCCAGTGAAGTTACATGTACCCTGCAATCAGTCCCAGTCAACACTCTGGATGGGGCATTTTGGACCTAAAGAAGTTTCCAAGGCAACCTCATGTAGAGCATGTTGCCATAATCCAAACAGGATGTAATCGAGGCATGTGTTAGCCGTGGCCAGATCTGACATCTCTAGGAACAGTCACAGCTGGTGCGCTAGATTTAACTGAGCAAATACATTCTTGCCTGTTGCGGAAATATAGGCATCCAGGGTGAGGGTTGAGTGCTACAAGCCTGAAATTTCAGGGGAAGAGTAACACAGGTTGCATCCCTATTCTCTAGTCTGTCTGTTGAAAAGGGGCACCTCTGCCTTGTCTTCATTAGGCTTCAGTTTCAGCTTCAATTAATCTGTGCCTAGTAGCTTTGCCTGAGGCCAAAGGGTTAACTGGAACTGCTTCAAACCACAAAGCACTAATGAAGATCCCCAAGTATAAGGAAGATAAAAGCAAATTCTTGAAGAATTTAGTTTGTTCAATGCATGTTGCTTCTTGGCTGCTGAATCACTACAATAGATCCAGGACTCTCTCCATTGTGTTCAGATCCATTTGTATATCCTGCTGAATACTATCTATCCTGCAGATAAGAAACACATTGGAGAACGGAAAGTAGACTCCACCAAAACCATACCAGAAAGGGAATAGAATTTCAAATTGCACTTGACTTAACATAACTGGCTTGTGAAATGCTAAAAGAAAAGATACAAAAGATTAACTGTACAGTCCATATCTTGCCAAAGTCATGTCTGGCAATGTAAAACTGTTGCGACTATCTCCAATATCATCATAGAATATGTGATTCTATCCTTGTTATCTGATTAGGTGGTGCAAGACGTATTAGGTATATGAAAATACATAAAGATTAGGTTTAGAAACACGTGATAACAAAACCCCAAGGTGGATCTCCATCTCTGTACACTACTTTCCTTCAAAGAATGCTGGTAACAAGAATATAGGATTTTTTTTATGTCAGGAGCGATTTGAGAAACTGCATGTTACTTCTGGAGTGAGAGAACTGGTCATCTGCAAGGACCTTGCCCAGGGGACACCCAGATGTTTTACAATGCCGTGGGAGGCTTTTGGCTCTTTTCTGAAAAATCATGCTTTTTAAAAAGTTATAATCTCCAAAAGGTGTTTTCCGAAAGATTATAAATGCCATTTTCCAAAAGTTTTACCCATGATGCTGCTTTCAATGACTGTTAATTCTGATGCTAACTTGGTTTTTAAGCTGAATTTGGCTGTGTTTATGTACATGTGCAAATTGTACCAATGTTGTATCCAAGTGCAAAAAGGGAGACTCATGAAAATAAAGATCACCTTAAATAAAAGAAGCTTGAGCAGATGTCTGGGAAAACCAGCACAGATGAATTACTGAAAATAAATAAGCAAGAGCTTGCAACCACTACTTTGGTCTGAAGTGACTCCTCTTGTTTGATCTCTGAGAGAGGTACTCTAAATCTTACTCAGCTTTAGCCTCCCTTTCAGACTGTCCTCCCAACTCCTGGTTCCAGTTTCATATCTGTAGGCTCTAGTGTAAATGTTCAGTTGGTATCCATATTTATCAAAGCGAAGATAGAGATAATGGCCAATACAAGTCCCATAAACTTTGGCTGAATCCGTTAAAAGGCCCATGTAGTACAACAACCCACTTCTAACAGGTACCAGTCAGACGTAACTAGAAAGCATGGAAATAGGGTCAAAACCACAAGCTGAAATGTTTGTAAAGGGCACATGGCCAAATTTACGGATCTACCAGTAGTTATTAAGAAGGCATGTAATCATATGATTCACATCAATTTATATTATCACTTACAAGACCGAAGAATATCAAAAGTTTTCTTCCGAGTGGGAGAGATGAGTTTATGCACATGTGCAACGATATATCCACATGTTTAACAAGATGTATTTAATAAATTGGTTTTGAATTGGTTTTGAATCACCGGTGCCCTCCCGGTGGTGATGATGATGATGATGCTAATAATAATAATAATAATAATAATAATAATAATAATAATAATAATTTTAAATTATTACACACCTCTTCCTATGGCTCGAGCAGGAGTACATCATGGTTAAAACAGCCAGGCAAATACAATACTATTAAAATGCATATATACATACAACAAAATGCATATAACAAAGACCAGCACCAATGCATTTAAAATTCAGTTTGAAATTGACTAGTTGGGCCCGCCAAATAACAAGTGGAGAGAGATGCACAAAAACATTGCTCTACCAGGAAGCTTTTCGTAGAAAGAAATTTTTGCAAGTAAGTCAGAAAAGAATGGAAAATCACATCCTCGATGAGTAAAAGAAAGCACCCTCACTATCAACAACAAAGGCTAAGTGGAACCTCAATCTTCTCAAGGAAGTATAATACAAAAACTAGTTACCAAGGGGCAACAGTACAGATGGCTTCTACTTTTGTGCCTGGCTTGTGTGGTTGCTGTACAAAGAGGCAGCATATTAGTTCAAACACATACCTTTCCCTCTTTTGGGAAGGCAGCAGG